TCCTGCTGCAGGCGGAGGTGGGGCCAGGTTCCTGATGCTCGCGTGCCCAGGGTGGCACATATCACCCTGTGCTGCAGCCCCTTGCATCCGATGGGGACATAGCACACCTGCCTCAGCAGCGTGGGATTTTTCGGGGCAAAACCTGTCCCTCCCGGTGGTATCTAAAAGCCACCAATGTCAGTGGTTTGGGGGCTCAGAAGCGGGTTTATGGCATCCAGTCCCAGGCAGCACTGAAGCTTGGACCACAGAAGTCCTCCCCCCCTCCCACCTCAGTTAAATAATGACCGCTGTACATGCTTACTCGTGCACAGACATATATACACCTATTTATATAGAAACGCCTTGCTTGTCCGAATCCCAGCTTTTCACAGGGAAGTGCTGGAGGCAGCACGGCAACGGCGCAAGGTCCCAGCCAACGATGCCTTCACGTCGTAGATGGCTACGTGAAGCTCCTCTGGCTCGTGCTCTTGCAGCTGAGAACGAAGGAGGAGGAGTTGCTCTTCTTGCTGACGCTCAGGTCGCACGCCGGCCGCGACTTCAGGTAGCGCGTGGAGCAGCAGAGGAAGCGCCGCATCAGGTCGTGGAAGAGGTGCCCCGTGTACAGCATGTAGATCCAGGGGTTGCAGCAGCTGTTGAGGCTGGCCAGGAGCATGGCGATGATGAAGGGGGAGGCTGCAAGGCAGAAAGCATGGCAGTGTCAAGGCACGGCGCAGGCAGTGAGAACCACCACCCAGGGGAGGCAGGCGTCGGGCATGCACCACGGAGGGCTCTGCCAAGAGCCCTGAGCTCTGCCGGCATCGCAACACCTCCTCCCGCACCAGGGACAGGCTGCCCTGCCTGCGGGAACACCACGGTCAGCACATCAGTGAGGAAGCAGTGCTGAATAAAAAGGGGGGAAGTGAGTCTGGGTTTAAGCAACTTGGTTTTAGTTTTTTTCCCCCAGAAGAGCTTTGTTTCCCCCGCTCAGCTCCTGTGCTGCTGCCTGCTCGGTGTTACCCTAGAAATGCCTTGGGAAGAGGCAGAGCTGCCCCCAGCATCATCTGCACAATTTGCCTTTATCATGCCCAAAGCGGGGAGGAGGGAGCGGGGCCTCTTGGAGTTGCCATGGCAAAGAGCAGGACCGGGAACAAAAAGAGCTGGGTCACTCGTTTTTCCCCACCAGTGGCCAATTTGGGGCTGACTAGCAACTTTCATCCACTCAGGCTGTGGGGAAGCCACGCTCCCCCCTGGCCCTGGGGTGTCCGCTGCTCCTGGGCTGTCCCCACCACCAACGCATGGCCAACAGGACAGTGCCCACCAGCCTGGCCCTATCTGTGCCTCTTTGCCCAGTACTCTCCCAGCCCCGGGGAACGGTGGCATTTTTCTCCCTCTGGATTGATTTTCTCCTATGACGCTCTGCCGGGGGAAATGATGGCCATTCCCATCTCAGTAATGAAGCCTGGGAGGCTGGCAATGGCTCCTAGCTGCAAGTGTGGCACTGAGGATGGGAGGCGACGGTGGCGGCACGGTGCCAGGACATCAAGTCTCCGGCTGCTACTCTCCATTCCCAGAGCACAAAGTACCCGACTGTCCCACCTGAGAGGTCAGACCAGTGTCTTCTGGTGAGAAAGGGGACCGTGGGACTCGCACCCACCACGGCAGCTGGCCCTGGCCGAGCCAGGACAAGGAGGGGCAGCCCCTGCCCCTGCAGGGCAGCACCTCCATAAAGTGGCTGCGGGCAGGGACAGAGCCTTTATTCTGCTCCCCGTGTTTTCAGCTCATTTTCTCGTCTCCTTGTGCTCTCAGGGGACGCGCCAGCAGTAAGGATGGATTTGGCTGTTTCTGGTCCCTTTCTGCCTCTGCAAAAATCCACTCAGGGTTTTTAAACTAGAAAAGAAGTGTGGATAATGAATACTAGTTTCCAAATTCACCTTTAACCAACTCATGCATAATTCCTGCTCTAGTGATGTCTGGTCCAACTGCTTTTAATTTCAAGCATACGCTAAAAGAAATCCTTGGGGAATGGCTTACAAGTCCTAGGCACAAGACCTGAAATATATCATAGCATTTCAATCCACTTCAAAAAATCCAGCCATGGCTGACTCAGCTCTTCTCTCTCTGGAGGAGATAAATTGAATTTCATGGGGCTTACTGCAGGGCAGATCTTAAGGATGGATCTCTCCCCTCCCCAGCAGGACTGCCGGAGATCCCCGAGAAGGGCTGCAAAGAGCAAGCTCTGCCCCTCACGGACATTCCCTCTCCCCGGGCTCCGAACATCCCCCCCGCACCAGGGTTGGGGATGTTGTGCTGTCAGGAGGGATCAGCAGAGGCAGGAGGCTGTTCCCCGGGGAAGGGCTGCGGGACCTCTGCTGCAAACGCTGCTACAGGAGTGAAATGAAACGAGAACTGTTCCCTAATTCCCACATACAGATAGATGCTGTCACTCACAGCCCACGCTTCAGGGCACCAGCTCCCAAGATTAAGGGACCAATATAACAGAGTTACGCTGCTTCACAGCCTCACTGTTATCTTCACAGATGCTTTAAGCCAACTTTGACTCAAAGTTCAAAATGCCACATGTAAATTATCTGTAAAAGGTGTGTGGAGCAGAAGCCTCATTTAAACTAATGTTTTGTGAAGGATCCCTGGTACTTAAGCCAACACCTGAATCATAACCTGTAGCTCCAACCTGCACTTACAGAGGTTTGCATGGCCAGCAAAGGTGGGGATCAGCGCTGCCTGGCCCGGGTATGCCATACCTCACTGACCAGCCCCTCCCCAGGCATGCAGAGGACCGACAAGCCTGGCATTACAGTGTTCAGCCCTCACATTCAGGCACTTTCATCTGCCCCACGGCAGCCACGGGGAAGGGACACTGAAGGGGCTGCCTGGCCCTGAAGTTCTGTGGAGCCGGGGTGCGGGGCAGGGCGATGGCATGGCTGGGAAAGGGGGGAGCGGGGCCATGCGGGCGGGCAGCAGCGTGGGACCCCAGCCCCATCCTGCCGCTCCACCGGGCACTGCTCAGGGCGAGGGTGCAGCTTCTGCACTTCACTTGCCTTATTTAATTTAAGTTGTTTTATGAAGTGAGGAAGACCCGTACAGAAAGCTACTGACGTGGCTCAGCAATAGTAGGGTGAGATCTCTCTGATTATCACTTTACCAACTAGGAGAGGAGGGCTGCTTCAGTTTTGTTTTCTTTACAGTCTTATCTTTTACCCCTGACACACGCCAAACCGCAGCAGACTTTGCACCCTGCAAAGGTGAAAGCATGGTCCGTGGCACACTGTGAGTTTTACCCATGTCAGACCAAGAGCTCTGCATCCCTCTGCTAACGCCCGAGACCTGCATCTCACCACGTTCCGGGATGCAATGCATGGGCAGAAAGCTGCAGTGTGCCTGCTCAGGATTCATTAGGATTCAGGTAGGTATAAACAGATCTTCCCTTGCCAGGGACACTCTTTATGACATCCTACACGGAGAAAACTAAACATTTTCTTCAGTAAGCGGCCCTCCATCACACAGCCTTTGTGCGGTGCTTGTCAGCTCCTGGGGTGCAGCCCGTCGGTGTTGCAGCCGTGACGGGGCCCCGCTGCTGCCAGGCCGCACAGCCAGCACCCTGCCCGCAAGCTTCTCTTCCTTCTCTGACACTATGTCCCTGCAGACTGCAAAGCCTGCAAGATGAGAAACAGCCAAATTCCCTTTCTGCTGCAGGGTACACCTCTGCCAGGCGCCCCACGATGCTGCCCAGCCAAGGCAACCTAAGCCTCAGTGCAAAGGAAAAGAGATCCGGGACGCAGGGCAATGCTGTCAGGAACGCAGCAGGCAAAGCCCGTTTTTTCTGCAGGGAGGTCTGACCCTGAGATCCCTCTCGTGCCTCTGGGCAGTCAGCGAGGAGGAGGGTGGCCCTGGGAGGAAGGGCTGGGGTATCCCGGCATTTGCTATCCACAATAACCCACCCGAGGCTTTTCCTCCCCGTGCCATGAAAGCCTCCAGCAAGTGCTCTGGCAAAAATCCCACCCTTTATTGCAGACACGAGCCCCCAAGCAACAGAAATGTGAAGGAAAGGGGAGTTGGTTACAACTCAGCACGGCTGGAGCTTCCCTCGCTACATAAAAGCAAAGCAAAGCAGAAAAGCGAAGGTGTCACAGGGCCACCTGCACAGGGTGAGCAAGGGAAAGTTTCCCGAGTCAGCAGGCAGGGCGTCACCTGTGAACACCTTGGCCACCCCCCGGCTCCTCGCCGCAGCAATCAGCAGAGCGGCAGAGGTTAGTTTGCCGATGAGTCAGGTGGAAGCCCTTGAGATTGCAGGTTTCAAACACAGCAAAAGGGAGAGATGTGGCATCATCCCAGGGCGTATCTAAAAGCTAGAAGTTTCAACCAGCCTGAATCAGGTAGAAAACCAAGAGACAGCTGCCTGGAGCACCTAGGGAGGTTTAAAAAGCTGTGCTTCACTTCTTCACCTGAAATAAAAGGAGCAGAGAGAAGCAATAAAGGCAAAGTAAGGAGAGCTGGAGCCAGGCAGGCTACCAGCTTTGGTTTATAGGAGAACAGATAGGCACGGATTGCAGGAAACATCAGGTTTTCCACAGAGCAATGTATAGCTGGAATAGGGTTAAAGAAGGGAAAAGAGCACACAGTGTAAGCAAGCCGTGCCCTCTGCTGTGAAGCCCTTGCTGCAGCAGGGCTGCCGAGGGAGCCGGGAGGGATCCCCAGACTCAGCATTTCTGTTGAGTTGGGTCAGTCTGTCCAAGGAGGGTTTGTCCCTGGATGCACGTTTTTGCCCTTTCTCCCACCTCACAAACTTGTGCAGAGTTTTTCTTTTCCGCTTTCCTAAGCCGGTTCTCCCTGTGGGTGCAGAGGGACCATCAGCCACCTTCTCCTGGGGACAGCACAGACTTGCACAGCTACAAGCATGCGAGACCAAGGGTAATATATTTTACTCTGTCTGCAACCTTAGTGATGACAGGAGCAGCCAGCGCCAAGTATAAAAAACGGCAAATCAGCGACACCATATCCTTTAGGAAAAGCCTTTGCTCATAAATCAGTGGCTTTCCGCAAGAACCGTGCTCCAGTCGGAGATAAAATAACAGCAGCACAGTCCCGGGGTGGATGGAAACAGGAGAAGAGGAGAGGGACAAGAGGGCAAAAGAGTAGAAAGCACGGAAGTCAGTGAGGACAAAACGATACGGCAAAAGAAAAGAAGTCAGGCACTAATGCTGTGCATTTTTCTCCTGCCATCACCCCAGCCCTGCGCAGCGGTGGGGGCTGAGCTCCCACGCAGCCCTCTGCACACCCCAGCACCCAGGGTGGGCAATCAAACCACCGGGGACCTCGGAGCGGCCCTGGGAGGGCTGAGCTTGTGCGCCCAGGGACAGTGAAAACCTCCCAAGCCACCATCCACACAGCCCGAACCCTGTAATGGCCCTGAATTTGTCAGGGGCTGAGCAAGCCCTCGCCTGCACCAGGGAAGCTCAGGCACAGCCACTGCTGCCTGTCGGGTGGTTTTTCCATGTTCAGGGCTTTTTCCTGCCTCCCTCCCAGCCCCGGGAGACCAGGCTTGGAACAATTTCTGGCTGTCACTCGCAGCCCCCCGAGTCCGCTGTCGGTGTCCCTGCGGCCGCTGGGCTAAGCAGTCCATGCAAACATAGGGCTTTGGGAAGGGAGAGGACGTACCTTCCTGCGGAGCATTTGTGTCCCACACAGACCACATCTGCACAAAGAAAAAGGGAGTCCAGCACACTATGAAAGCTAACACTATGATGAAGGTCATTTTGACTGTCCGGATCTTGGCTTTGGAGATGAGCCTGGTGCTGCTGACCCTGGCAAACGCCATCCTGTTGTGGGAGCTGGAGCTCAGACCCACGTTGGGCCCGTGAGCCGTCTTAAGCTTCACATTCTGCCAGATTTTGAAGCTGATTAAGCCATAGCAGATGCTCAGCATCAACACAGGGATGATGTAGACCATGAGGGTTATCCAGGTGACATAGGCTTTGGGTCCCCAGGGCTGGATGAAATCTGCCCAACAGTCGTAAACCCCATTCCCTACATCCCTCAGAGAAAATATGTGGATCTGAGGGATGCTGACCAGCAGGCACAGCAGCCAGGTGAGGAGGACAGAGACCCGGTCCGCTCTCCTGTGCAGAGACCTCAGCGGCTGACAGATGGCCAAGCACCGGTCCAGGGACATCAGCAAGAGCATGTAGGTGGAAGCAAACATCCCCACTACCTGCAAGTACTTGATCAACCGGCAAAGGAAATCTGGCCCATAAAACCTGAAGGTGATGTCCCAGATGAGCTGGGGCAGCACCTGGAAGATGGCCACGACCAGGTCAGCGATGCTCAAGTGGGTCATGAAGAAGTACATGCGGGAGTGCTTCTGCCGGGTGGTGTGGATGGCCAGCAGCACGCACAGGTTGCCGGTCAGGGCGAGGAACAGGATGAGGCAGAGGACCGTCACCTCCACCTTGGCCATGTCCTCGTTCCTCTTCAGGGGGTCCGTGGTGCTGTTCCTCCCGGAGCTCTGGTTCTCCAGGCGGAGGCTGCCGTTCCCCAGAGAGCTGTTGATCGTCCATACGCTGCTCCCCGCAAAGTACAACTTCTCCATGGCCAGCTCCGTCCCACATAGAGCCTGGTAGCAGAGAGGGTGGGTGGCAGATCCTCTACGAACGCGTCCCCGATTGAGGCAGCCGTGTCCCCGCCCGGGGGCCCCTCCTCCCCTCCCCGGGCTGTGCCGCTCCGTCCCCGCCTTCCGCCGAGGAGCAGCCTGGCCGCCCCCGTGCCCGTCCCCGGGGCTGGAGGGCTCTCCGGCGGCTCCACCCTCTCCCCTCCCAGGGCACCCGACGTTTCCCCAGGCTCCTGCCCCCAGACAAAACCCCAGCGCAGGAGGAGGTTTAGGGGAAAGGGCCGGCACAGAGACGCGGTGTCCCCGTCCCAGCCCGCCCAGCGCCGGCGGGGCGGGGCGGGGGCCGGATCCTGCCCGCCCGGGCGGGGAG